GACAGAGAGAGACCTGGCAGTTGGGGTGGGGGGCCTGCTGGGGGCGGCTCCCTCTGCTTCAGCTGTCTGCCGAAAGGTAACCTCACCTTTGCCTCGGCCCCCAGAGTGGGGGCCCTTTCTCTGCCCGTCAGGCACCATTTTACCACTTGGGCCTTCCCTGGATCCGATGCTCTGGAGGAGTGTTGGAAAGGTTCTGCTTCCTTATTTGCTTCGCTGCTATCTAGAATTTCTCGTAGTACAAGGAAGCATCTTGCCATCTGAGCAAGAACTTGCCTCGAAAAACACACTGGGATTATTCTGGTCACTTCTGGACAATAAGCCTGCGTGTGGATTTTTATTCTTTTTTCCCAGCTCAGGTTTTGTTCATTTGCTGTTGTGCCTTGTTTGTATTCTAATTTCCTGCCCAGCCCCCCATGAGTGATACTCCTAATAATGTATAAATGTGGCCTGGGGCGATAACTGCAAATCAGCAGCCTCTTCCCCCTTCCTTTTCCTGAAGGTAGAGGTAGGCAGGATGGTTCCATGTGGGAGTGTGGAAAGGAAGATGTTTTGAAAGATGGTTAACTCCCTTCCCCCCCCCCCGACAGGCACACCCTGGAATAAGCCACAGGCTCACAGCTGGCACCTCGGTTCCTCTCGGTCAGGCTCCCTTGTTAGCAGGATTCGGCCTGCTGGGCTGTGGAGAGTCATGGGGAGCCGTGCTTTGGGCTGAGGGATCAGGCTCAGTGGGAATTATGATCGCAGTGATGCGCTGATCAAGACTGCAGTGGTTCTCTTAGAGAAGAATCGTGACCGCCTGTTGAGGGGCTGCTGGGCTCTGAGGAAGAGGAGGGAGGCGGGTGGGCGGGCGGTGCGACACGAGCGAGCTGCGCGTTCCAGGCCATTCACGCTCCCTTTTCCCTCCTCCCTTCTGCAACGCCTTCCAGGCCGAAGCCTCAAACAGGCGCCACCGGCCCATCGGCATTGGAGTGCAGGGGCTGGCGGACGCTTTTATCCTGATGCGGTATCCGTTTGAGAGCCCAGAGGCGCAGCTGCTGAACCAGCAGATCTTTGAGACCATTTACTACGGGGCGCTAGAAGCCAGCTGCGAAGTGGCTAAGGAGCAGGGGCCGTACGAGACCTACGAGGGCTCCCCCGTCAGCAAAGGCGTAAGTTAAAAGTGCAATGTACTTGAGCTCTTTCTCTCTCATATCTGTGCCTTAAAGAGGCAGCTCTCCTTTTTGCGGTCAGTTTAGAAGGTGGGCTTGACTTTCGTAGGCTCCGCCGGCCTCCTTTGGTGGTCTGTTTGGTCCTGATGGGGTTGCCGTTTCCTTGCCTTCTTCAGATCCTTCAGTATGACATGTGGAACGTGACCCCTACGGACCTCTGGGATTGGAAGGCCTTAAAAGAGAAAATCGCAACGTGAGTAGACCCCCTTGGGGCCCTTGGCACAAATAGCCTTGGCTGACACCGCCCTTAAAGGAGGGCAGGGGGGAAGGGTTTGAGAGGCCGTCCCGGGGTAGATGCACAAGAGGAGATGCTCAGAGGAACCGGGAAGAAGGAAGGTCAGCTGGTTTCACCGGCCTGGGGACTGAAAGCGAGGGAAGAGGCGCCCTGCCCTCTTGGGCATCGATTGAGCGCCCTCTGCGCTGTAAACCTCTAGGGTGAGGTGGGATAGGTGGATGGATCCTACCCCGACAGGCGGTGTGGATGTAGCCGCTTCTGGCTCAGGGCACAGCCCACCGTCCTTCCTGCACAGCCCTGCTCGAGGCAGGCAGGAACTGCGCCAACGAGGAGCGTGGCCTCCGTGGTCCTTGCGTGGCTCCTTCAGGCGGGCCCGCACAGGAGAGAGCCTTCGTGTGGATCCCGGTCGTGGTCTCCAGGGTCGCTCGTTCTCAGGTTCAAGGAAGGCCAGAACTTACTGGGGCACCTCCCGGTCGGTCCTTTGCCCCCTGGCAGACCCCGCCGTGTTCCTCAGAAAGCCAAGAAATCGCTTCTGGAAAAGGCAGGGCAGAGGCGGACGTTGGGCTGTTCAAAGGCTCTCGGGGGGGGGGTCCTTTGACTTGCCTCGCGGCTCTCGGCACCTCAGCAAATGAATCTTCTCCCTGGGACTCTTCCCTGGGACTTTAAGATCCGTTGGCCTGTTTCCGGTATTCTCTTTCCTTGCGTGGAATGAGGCCTCTGGATCTGCTTTGCTCTCCTCTTGTCGAGCCACTTCTGGTCTGTTTAGCCCCCCCCAGCCCCCCCCCCAGTGCAGTATTTGTGCCCTGGGTCCTTTCCACAGGGTGAGGCCTCTTCTTTCTTGGGGCTGTGTCGGAGTCGGGCCTAGAATTTCAAGGTGCCTCGGGGGGAGCGGAGAAGGGCCGGCGGAGCCTCTGCCCGGGCATAGAGCTGCCGCGGACGGGATTGGGCCACTCCTCTGGCTAGCCCGGGGCTGGTGACTCCTGACGGCTCAAGCTTTTCTCATCTTCCCCGGCACCATTGCACCTGAGGGTCTGCGTTTAACCAACGCTCTCTGGGATCAGGCCTGGGTTCTCGGAGGGCCCAAGGGCGTTACTTCCCACAAAAAAAAAAAAGCGCCAGAAGTTGTGGTGCTTTTCTCACGCCCCACCTCGTGGCTTCTGCCGCTGCAAATGAGTTCGCCGCCCAGCTTCTCCTGCTTGATGCCGCTGAATGCTCGCCCTCGAAGAGTCTGGCCTCCTTTCTGCCTTCTCTAGGTACGGCATTAGAAACAGCCTCCTGGTGGCCCCGATGCCAACAGCTTCGACGGCACAAATCTTGGGCAACAACGAGTCCATTGAACCCTACACCAGCAACATCTACACACGCCGGGTTCTCTCTGGAGAGTTTCAGGTAGAGAACCAGAAAGGGGAATGGGAAACCAAGGGACTCGCTTCCCGAAGGGAGGCGCTGCCTCTGGGCCTCCCCGCGTTGTTCCGACCAGCCCAGGGCCTCTCCCGGAGAGCAGGGGCTTCCTGTCTCCCTGCGGCCCCATGCCTCGGGTGGCTGCCCACTCCAGCGTGTATTTTACAATGGCGGGGTGGGTGGGGTGGCGTTGATTTATGATGATTCAGGACACTCGTTCGGGAGAAGCACAGACTTTTGTCATGACCGTCTGGCATGTTATTGTATTTAGAGGACTTAAGGCAGCTTGTATATAGGATGGCCCTGGCTGAACCGCTCCGTGAGTGAGGGGTCTGGCTGGAGAGCTGTGGGTTGGGCGTTTGATTCCCCCCACTTTGCCTCCAAGGGGGGGTAGGGAAGAGCCAGCCTGGGTGGCCTTGGGCAAGCGGCAGCAGTCCCAGGGTGCCCCTGGAAGAAGGCTCCTCCAAGTAGCCCCTCTGCTTGGAAAACCCTGAAAAGGGTCGCCATAAGTCACCATTAACTTGACTGCGCACGATGAGGATGGCAGAGAACAGAAGATTGTTTTTGGTTGACTGGGGTGTGTGTGGAAACAACGCGGCCTATGTGGAGCAGACGTGGGAGTGTTTTTGTCTCATAGATCGTGAACCCCCATTTGCTGAAAGACCTGACAGAGAGGGGCCTCTGGAACGAGGAGATGAAGAACCAGATCATCGCCTACAACGGCTCCATCCAGGTAAGGTCAAGGCCTGTCCCCGAGGAGTCCGTGAGTGGCACGAGAGTGTGGCTTCTCCTGCAGCGTCACCGGCCCTGGAGCCCCCCCCCCGGGTGACTTCAGCAGCACACGCTCGATATTTGCAAACATCTGGTGCCGTTCAAAGACCAGTGGATTTATTTAAACGTGAGCAGAGGTGAATCGCCTCCCGTTGCCTCGGAGTCCGGATGTACCTCTGTGAAAGTCTGCTCTGAAAGAAATCAGTTAGATGGCCAAGGTGCTCCAATCTTGCTTTTTTCATTATTATTTTAAAATAATTTTATTAAAGAAAGTTAATAATGACAATATTAACATAAAATGTATATACATTAAATACAACACAACTATAATTCCCCTCCTGTGCCACCCTCATGCTCGGAACTAGGTAACCAGAAATGTCATTTTAATCCCTTTTCACTCCACTCCGCCCCAAAAATACATGGATTCTTCTGATGGCTCATGGCCTTTTCCTTTCACAAAGACATATTCCAAATACAGTGGACCCTCTACTTACGGAATTAATCCATGTTGGAACGGTGGCTGCAAGTATTCATACCTCTTTAAAATCAATCCCCTTTTTACTTTCGTTTCACACGTTAACTTATCATTGACTGCTAAATTCCACATTTCTTTGTAACAGTCTTCAAGATGAATTTGCTTATCACTTTTCCAATTCTTTGCAAATATTAGTCTTGCTGCTGTGACCATTATAATTAACTCTGTTTTTGATTGTTGTGGGTTTTTCGGGCTCTTTGGCCATGTTCTGAAGTTTGTTCTTCCTAACGTTTCGCCAGTCTCTGTGGCCGGCATCTTCAGAGGACAGCACTCTGTGCTGTGGTGTAGTTGGCAGGAGTGCTGTCCTCTGAAGATGCTGGCCACAGAGACTGGCGAAACGTTAGGAAGAACAAACTTCAGAACACGGCCAAAGAGCCTAGAAAACCCACAACAACCATTAGATCCCGGCCGTGAAAGCCTTTGCGAAAACAGTGGTGCCTTGCTAGACGATAATCCATTCCGCTGAAATTGCTTCATCTAGCGAAAAGCATTTCCCCATTAGGATGCATTGAAACCTGTTTAATGCGTTCCAATGGGGAAGAATCATCGTTGTCTAGCAAAGATCGGTCATAGAAAAGCCGCTTTGTGAACCGCCGTTCAGCTGTTTAAATAGCTGTCTTGCGAAGCTTAAGTCCTGAAAACACCGTTTTGGGAGCACGGAGGGAGCTGTCAAAATCGTCATCTAGCGAAAATCGGTTTGCGAAGGAGGGACCAAACATTGTCCAGCGAAATTCCCCCATAGGAATCACTGTTTTGCGAATCGCTATAGAGATCGCAAAAAGTCAATGTCTAGCGAAAAAACTGTCATGCGGGGTAACTGTCTGGCGAGGCACCACTGTAAAATTATTTTTAATAAGGCAATAATTGGTGATATCTGAATTTGCATCCAATAATTTTTGTAATTTCCTTAAAAACCAGTGCCCATTCTTTCTTTCTTGTTTTACTCGTCCTCCACATATGCATAGAGGTCCCTTTTTCTTTTTTTTACATCTCCAGCATTGGAGATGGAAAAATGTTAAAAAAATACATTTGTATTAATTGCATTTTTATTTATTGTATTCAGTCTTGCTGGAGTAAAGTACCATCTCCATGCAGCCCTGTGACAATTTTCTTTAACACTCATAGGCGTATTGTTCGTTATGGACTGCAGTCTTTCTGTCCCTGTTTTAATTTTGCTGCATGTGGTGGCAAAGGGTCAGGTTTGTTGGGGGGTGGGGGTGGGGGGACTAGCCCAGGGTTTTTTTTGGCAAAACGGAGTTGGTCACCTGAGATTTAGGCCACAAAGAGGCTCTTTTTGCCTTTTAGAGGAACTGCTTGGTCTCAGAGAAGTGAGTGGAGGGAAGTTTTAAAGAAGCAGGTGACGCTGCAAAGGGACGCAAACGAAACCCGAAGGGGCGGCTCTCGCCTTTGTCCTTTCCTCGGGCGCTTTCAGGAGAAGCAGTCTGTGAAAATTCAGGCCCATTAGCCTCGGAAGGAAAGGGAAATAACCCTCCGAGGGCACTCCATGTGTTCTCGGTTAGCACCAGCTTTGAAAATCCTCTTTATTTTCTGCTCCTCGGTGTCTCGAGAAGCACTACCCTTGCCCCCCCCGCCCCGCCAGCCCCTTAACGCCTCCATAGGCTTGGCTGAAGCCTAAAACCTCGGTTCCCCGTTTCCTGGAGAACTACGTCCGTCGTCTCTTCTGCCTTCCAGAACATCCCTGAGATTCCAGAGGACCTGAAACAGCTCTACAAGACGGTGTGGGAGATTTCCCAGAAGACGGTCCTCAAGATGGCTGCCGACCGGGGGGCCTTCATTGACCAGAGCCAGTCGCTGAACATCCACATTGCGGAGCCCAATTACGGCAAGCTGACCAGCATGCACTTCTACGGCTGGAAGCAGGTGGGCCGGAGGAGAGGGAGGGAGGGAGCCGTCGGGCACTCCCTTGGGGGCGGGAGGTGGCCCAGAGCGTCCGGGATCCTCCTTTGTGTCAGGGGTTCGAGGCAGGAAGCCCCGTCTGGCCGCGTCCTCTCGGGGGACACGTGCTCCAGCCGAACGGGTTAGGATCCCGAGCGGCCTCCCCAAGCAGCTTGAGTTGCAAAGACCCAGTTCCGTCAGGGGGAGACCTGGACCCCTCACGAAGGGATCGGGGTCTCCTGACCCCTCTGCTGCCCGCCCCAGCTCTGAGTGGGGACCCCCTGCCCTTCGGCTGTTTCTCAGTTGACCTTCCCCCTCCCCTCCCCCCCAGGAGCCACCTCCCCTCTCGGTTCCCTATTTCTTCCACTCGTGCATCCTTTTG